AATAAAAATAATAAAGCTGGGCGTGGTGGTGCACACATTTAATCCCAGCACTTGGGAGGCAGAGGCAGGTGGATCTCTATGAATTCAAGGCCAGCCTGGTCTACACAGTGAGTTCCAGGACAGCTGGGGCTATAGGGAGACCCTATCTCAAAAAAACCAAAAAAGAATAAATTAATTAAATAAAATAATATTTAAAAAAGAAATTGAACCTTGTATGCTGTACTTGTCTATAAAAACTAACTGTACCTGGGGGTTGGGGCTGTTTTCTGAGCACTCACCCAGAGTCCAGGGACAGCCCAGCCGTAATAAAGATTTTTTCCTTGTTTTTCACCTGTGTGTGGTGACTGCTGATTTGCAGCTTACAACACTAAAAGGGCATTTTTAGCATGGAAACTCGTTCTTATTTGTCCCATTTAAAAAAACCACATTTCTGGGACTGGAGAGATGGCTCAGCAGTTAAAAGCACTGACTGCTCTTGCAGAGGACCAGGGTTCAATTCCCAGCACCCATATGGAGGCTAACAACCACCTGGAACTCCAGTTCCAGGGGATCCGACGCCCTTGTCTGATCTCGATGGGCATTGCATGACATGGTGCACTTAATACATGCAGGCAATACATTCATACTCTTAAAATAAAAAGAAAAATTGCTAAAATCACATTTCTGTCTTTGTAGCACGAATGCTGCAGTAAAATGGAAACAATTGAGGCTAAACTACAAGTGCACATTACCACACCCAGTCTAGTGCTAAAGGTGGCTCATTTACCTCATCTTTACCAAAATTGAGGGCATTTACATTAAGGTAATGTTTTGAAGTGGCTACCTTTGGAATGTGTGGTCATAAAACAGATGTTCAAAGGTCTGCATTCAGTTGTTTAGCCATTATTTCTGTAAATATCTTAACTTTTAGAGTTTCTTTCAAAAGCTGGATAGAGTGGCACATGCCTACAATCCCAGGACTTGGGAGGTGGAGGCAGGAGGATAGCAAGTTCTGGACAAACGTAGTCTACATAGCAAGTCCAAGGGCCACCTAAACTACATGATGAGGCCTTGTCTCAATGTCAAGGGCTGGGGCTATACCTCAAGGATAAGAATGCCTGTCTAGCTTGTGAAAAGTCGTGGGTTTAGCCGGGCGTGGTGGCACATGCCTTTAATCCCAGCACTCGGGAGGTAGAGGCAGGTGGATCTCTGTGAATTCAAGGCCAGCCTGGTCTACATAGTGAGTTCCAGGACAGCTGGAGCTACAGGGAGACCCTGTCTCAAAAAGACAAAAAAAAAAGTCTTGGGTTTAATCCCCAACACTACAAAATGATTAAGTGGCATTATATAGTGCTGTAACGGGAATACCCGAGTTCATGTTTCCTGTCATCACAAAAGCTAGTGACTAGAGACAAGAACTAAATTTAAGTTTTGCTTTATTCAGAGAGCCAGCAACCTGAGAAGACAGGAGGTGGTGATGGGGTATGGAGAGCACAAAGGCAGTCAAGTATGTCAGAGCTGGTATTATCTCTCAGGTCAGGTGGTCAACCACATTTCTGAGATTTGTGATCGTCTGTACCTCTCATTATCATCTGGAAAGTGGAGCTGAAGCACTTCTTGACACGCTGAGTCTGGTTAGTCTGTTAACTTTGTACTTTTCCAGTACTATTTGAGCTGGAGAGTTAAAACAAGCAAGCCATCGATGGTGTGTATATGCTAAACTAGTAATGACTTGTATGTGCAGACTCCATTTTATGGTATGGAATAGACGTATCCCTACCCATACTCCACATCCGACAGTGCCACTTACACTTTTGTTGGAAAATATGCTGTGATAAAGCAGTAGAAAACCCAAAAGACATTTTTATTTTTTGTTTTCTGAGTCTGGTATTTTTTGAGACATGATCTCATTATATAGCCCCAACTGGCTAGGACCTTACTATGTAGACCAGGCTGGCCTCTATCTCACAGAGATCTGCCTGCCTCTGCCTCCGAGTACTGGGATCAAAGGCAAGTGCCACCACACCTGTCTTTTTAAAAAAATATTTTATTTTTATGTGCATGTGTGTATTGCTTGCATGTAGTTTTAAGTACACCTGTGTTGTACAATGCCTGCGGAAGACAGAAGAGACCATTGGATCCCCTGGAACTAGAGTTACAGACAGTTATTCACTGCCATGTGGGTGCTGGGATTCAAATCCGGGTTTTCTGCAAGAACAGTGTTCTTAACCACTGTGCTATCTCTCCAGCCTTTTTTTCAGTAGTTCACAAAATACTTTGAGATAGGAAGATGCCAATTATTATTTTCCTCCTTCTCTACTCCACTTTCTCTGACAGTCTCGTGTAGCCCAGGCTGGTGTTGTACTATGTAGCTGAGGATGACATCCAACTTTTTAATGTGTATGAGTGTATGAGTATTGCCTGCATGTAATCAAGTACACCCTGTCATACAGTGCCCATGGAGGTCAGAAGAGGGCATCAGATCCTCTGAAACTGGAGTTACAGATGGCTTTAAGTGGGTTCTTGGAATTGAACCCGGGTCCTCTGCAAGAGCAACCAGTGGAGCCATCTCTCCAGCCCTGATATATATTTTTTTAAAGACACAGTTTCACTGTGTAGCCATGCTTGCTATGTAGACCAGGCTGGCCTCAAACTCACAGAAGTCCACTTGTCTCTGCCTCCTGAGCACTAAGGCTTGTGCCACCATGGCCCACAACCTTGAACTGTCAATGCTCCCAAGTGTGCTAGGATTACAGATGTGCACTACCACTACCACACATGGCTTCTTTTTTTTTTTTTTTTAAATATCTTTTGAGTTACAAAATAAACAGATCCAGTTGGTGGTGTAACTGTTTCAGAAGGCCTAGGATCCTTTCAGATGTTTTGGAATCTTCTAGGACTTTCCCTCTGTGGGGTTGGAATCATTTCTAATCTTTGTACTCTTCTCCCAACCCACTCCCCTCTTGAGACAGGGCTTCATTATATAGCCCAGGCTGGCTTTAAACTGTGACAGTCTTCCTGCTTCAGTGTTCCAAGTGTTGGGATGACAGGTTTTCTGCTGTCTCTCCCCAATTCTCAAAAATCTACTCCATCACTTCAATGCATAGCATCCCCATCTCAGTACCATCAGACAGTGATGTCTTACAGAGATCAAAGCCTAGTAGCACCTCCTGTTTGTATGCATGTGTGCAGGTGTGTGCTGAAGCCAGAGGACAACATCAGTCACCACTTCTTAAGTACCACCCACCTTTAAAAAAAAAATCCTTCAGTGGTTGGGAGCTGAAGAGATGGCTCACTGGTTAAGAGCACTGAATGCTCTTACAGAGGACCTGGGTTCGGTTCCCAGCACCCACATGGTGGCTAACAACTGTCAGTAACTCCAGTTCTAGGAGATCTGATGCCCTCTTCTAACCTCTGCGGGCACTGCACGACATGGTGCACTTGCATACATGCAGGCAATATACTCATACACATTAAAAAGAAAAAATCCCTCTGGCCTGGAACTATCAAGTAGGTTAGGCTAGCTGGCCAACAAGCCCCAGGGATCCACCAGTCTTGGCATCCTCAGTACTGGGATTACAAGTGCATGCCACCACACCCTACTTTGTGGATTCTGGGGATCAAACTCGGGCCCTACTGACTAAGCTTACTTCCTAGCCATTTTTCTTTTCAAACAGGGTGTCATGTATCCCAAACTGGCTTCAAACTTGCTAGAGAAGACCTCGGATTTCTGATCTTCTTGCCTCTACTTCCCAAATGCAGAGATTACAAGTGTTCCCCACCATGACGTTTTATTACGCAGTGCTTGGGATCAAAAGCAGGTCAAGCAAGCACTCTACCAACTGAGCTTCATGCTCAGCTCATATTTTTCCGTTTTCTACAATCTTCAGTAATTCAGTTAGCATCATTCACAAGCAAGCACTGAAGAAACAACATCCAAATACATAAACCTCAAGAAGATCCTGATGGTATTCCTGTGTGTGTAGTGCTGGGATTGAACCCAGGGCCCTGTACATGTTAGGTAAGCACTGTACTACTAAGCTACATATCCAGGCCCTGCTGACATTCTTGTTTTAATATTTTATGTGTATGAGTGTATTGCCTACATGTGTATAAGTGCACCCATGTCATGCAGTGCCCATGGAGGTCAGAAGAAGGTGTTGAATTCCCCTGGAACTGGAGTTACACATGGTTTTTAGCTACCATGTGGGTGCTGGAAATCAAACCCAGATCCTTTGCAAGAGCAGTCAGTGCTCTTAACCGCTGGGCCATCTCTCCAACCCTTTGTTTTTGAAGACAGGATCTCCCTGTAGCCCCAGCTGGCCTGAAACTCCCTGCGTAGACCAGGCTGGCCTCAGTCTCACAGAAACCTGCTTGCTTCTGCTTCCCCAAGTGCTGGGATCAAAGGTGTATACTATGATGCCCCACTCCCTGCTGATAGTCTTTTAAATGGCCCACCAATACAGCCCTCCATACCTCCAGGGCCTAATAGGACATACCAGTTTTTTTTCCTCTTCTTCTTTTTTCCTAATGATTTATTTTTATTTTATACAAGTGTTTTGATCGCCAGTATATTTACTGATATGTATAAAGTGCCCACAAAGGCAGGAAGATGACAGAGCCGCCATGTGGGTGCTGGGAGTTGAACCTGGGTCCTCTGGAAGAACAGCAAATACTCTTAACCCCTGAAGCTATCTCTCCAGCCCAGTCTCTCTTTTCTTAGGCAGGGTCTTATGTGGTTCAAGCTGGCTGGCATCAAGTCACTAATCAAGGATGGCCCTGAACTTCTGATTCTTCTGCATCTGCTTCTGAAGGACCCAGCTGGACACACTAATTTCTTATGTGTTTATCAAGCTATTCTACTTCAGCAGAAAGTACTATTTGGGAACTGGAGGGCAGAGTGAGTATTTATAAGGTAGGACTAGAAGGAGGGATTGACTTGTGGATCTAAAGGGCTTGATCATTTGAAGAAAAAAAAAAAAACCATGACAGAACTGAGAATAATGTCCATTTACTACCACTGACAAAAAAATAACCTTTTATTAAAGTAGATGCAGAATATTTATTTGCTCAGATTTTAATACTGCTTTACCTATTTTTGTTTGAAACAATTCCTATTGTTTTATTAACCAGAAATGTCAACTGATAACAGATTCATTTAATTTTCACTTGTCAAGCACAGTTGCTAATTGAGGGAGAAACCCATCAAAGGCTTATGTACAGTTGTGGAGGCTCTTACTATACATGTAGCATGGAAAGTACACTTTATCACTTTTTACATATTCTAGAAGACATTCAAGTGAAGACAGACTAGTTGATAAACTTCTGGTGGTTGAGGTTCTTAGTCTTACCTTTTTGTGATAAGAAAATTCAAAATTATTAATGTTGAATTTCTCATCATACATTCATTAAAAATATAGTAAAAACAATTTATAAACAGATTTGTTTCCGTGCGTTCTAGTGGCTCAATTCATGGCTGGGGTGTCTTAGAGAAGGGAAAAAGAAGTGGAAAGAGCTCTTCTGGCTACTTAGCGTGAGGAGTTAAGAAGCAAAATGGGAGCAAAGCAGAGCCTAGTCTGTCATATCTGGGTGATCCTTTAGGTGTTTTCTTTTTCATAAAGGTAAAAATCTGAAAAGAAGATACACTGTATATGTTTTTTCCCAAAATATAGATTTCTTAAAAAATATATACATACAATATATAGAGGCTGAAATTATGTAAAACCAATAAAGAAAACACTCCAGTCAAGTGTGTGGTGCAGCATATAGATTATAAAACATTCCTCCACAGCCGTCTGGGGCTTCCCTTCCTTGACCTGTTTCATGTTTGCAACTTCACCTAAGTACTGCCAAGCCTGAAGAGATACTACGGATGGCAGGTGTGCCAAGAGCTTGCGAATTCAAGAAGAAATAACTGAGCACAGGAAAATGCAAAGTGGTACATTTTTTTGAAACTCATTCCAGTGTCAAAGCTAAACCAGAAAAATCTAAGTATATAAATACAGCCCAGAAATATTTTAGTGCAAATATGAAAAAAATAACAGCATAATTTAAAGTTTCTTAAATAAGATCTTGTCAGGGTTGGACTTATTCCATGAGGTTTCTTAGGGACAACAAAAGTAACGGCACCTGGTGCAAAGTCTTAAAATGAAAGCTCACCTACAAAATATTTATTATTCCAACTTATAAGGGGAAATGAAAGGAAAATTTATTAAAGATCAAAATAGTTTCTTAGATTTGCTGACGGGGTCCAAAATAACGAGTTCTCCTGAAGTGGCGTGCATAATGCTGGTGGTAGCTACTGAGAGGTCATTGCCTGGGAGAGCCCAGCTCTGCCCTGAGGCCTCATCAGAAGGTCTCGTCGTCATTGCAGTTGGTTGCCCAGTGCCCAAACATCTCACAGATTTCACAGTATGGCCGCTCCTCACTTCGGCTGCCATGGTGTGTGGAATGTGGAGGGTCTTCAGACATCTGTGCCTGGGTGGGGCAGTCCTCTGTATCATGGAGATCAAAGCAGTCACAAATGTCACAGAAGAGGCGGGGCTTCTTCTTGGACTGTTTCTCCTGGTCATCACTACAAATATTAACAATAGGTTCTTAGTTTTATCTTTTTGTGATAACCTTATCAGAAGAGATTCAAGAGACAACAGTACTTATAACGAATTTTTTAAATATCCAAGAACTAATGATGGCTACATCTGTGATGAGCCTCCAGGAAAGCCAGGACAACTCTTATAAAATATGCAGGTAAGACCACTAAGGTCTCTCACTCTTGCCAGGTGATCACTCTTGCCAAGTAAGAGTGATCTCATTTGTTTGACAACCCACTGCAGAATCTAATCCGAAACACCTCTCCTCTGATGCCTGTCAGCCAGGGCTCTGCCATACCTGTCATAACTGTGCAGATCATCCCCATTGCCATTGAGTGCGGCTTCAGACATCATCTCTACCTTCATCTTGAGGTCTTGATTCTTTCTTTGAAGGTCCACTATTACTGAATTGAGGAAATCAATCTAATGTTTTAAAGAAAAAGAAGTGGTGAGCTATGTAAATGTCTATGACACACACAGCTGGAGTTCAAGAGGCTGGGAAAATTTGCTCATTGTGGCAGCAGAGAATGTTACAAAGGGCCATCGGTGCCCTTACTGAACCTATGTTTTTCAGTCTCACTGAGGAACAAGAGCACTGAAGTTGGACAATGAACTACAAGTGAACTTAGAGGAGGCCACAGCTTGGTGACGAGCCAAGGAGATTTCTTTCTCTCCTTTCCTATCTCTCAATATTCTTCTGATGGTTACTACTGAATCTTTGCACCTGTAAATGGATGAACCTCACTTGTCATTCAGACAAGAGAAATTAACTAAATCTGGGTTGGAGATCTGTTACTGATTTCTTTCAATAAGATAATACCTTGTATTGTTCAAAGTCATCATTTCACATTTCTGGATACATGGGCATGATTTTTATTTTTCTTTCTACCACATAAAAAATATAGGGCCAAAAATATAGCTCAGTGGTAAAGCACTGCCTAGCAGCTGTGAAGCCCTATGCACATTTCCTAGCACCGAATAAATAAAAGTTTTTTAATTCTGGAACAAATTCAGGACTTCTCTGATTTGTAGCTCTGAAAAAAAAAATTAGATGGAACTTTTCTTCAGACCACTTAACTGATTGGAGATGGGCTTCAGAGAAAATGCAGGGGATTAATAGAGAAAACCAAGCTCCCTTTTTGCTAAGGAGAGTCATTGCATATGCTAGCACAGCAGTGTTCAGGTGCCGCATGCAGAGGGCACCTATTACAAGGAGTACTAGGCAACAAGGACAACAAAAAGACCACCAGAAGGTAAATTTCTGAACACTCCTTGTAAATAAAAAAGAAGTTCTTTTCTCTTCCACAAATAGTGAAAAGGTTTCATTTCTCTAAACTGAAAGATCTCATACACTCCACCCCCAACCCATCGAGATAGACTCTTGATATAGAGCCCAAGTTAGCCTTTAACTCACTATGCCCGGGATGGTCTTGACTTCTGATCCTTCTGCCTCTACTTTCCAAGTCTAAGATTATAGGAATGCATCACCATGCCTGGTTTATGTGGTGCTAGGGATCCAACTTGGGCTTTCATGTACATTAGGCAAGCACTCTCTGCCATCTGAACCACATTTCCAGTTCTATATTTTACTTCCAAAGAATTATCTGGCTTTTCCACTGTTAGGGTGAGGGCTGCCCAACTGCCACTGTCCACATTACAGCCTTCTGACATCAGCATGCCACCTTTGAAGGCAGATACACTGGGGCTATTTTTACTTCTCAAGTTGCATTTTCTACCCTCCTTCCATTTATCTTTTATTTTTTTGAGACAGGGTCTTACACTATACCAGGCCTCAGATTATCTTCCTGCCTTTGCCTCCTGAGTGCTGGGATTACACAAATGTGCTACCACATTCACCTTTCAAGTTGTATTTTCTAAATCATTCAGTTAGCTCCATTTTAGGAGCAAGGAAACCACATACACAATCACACATACATGTGCATACAAATAGGAAACATAAAACAAACCATTTGCTGATGGGAAGGAAAGTGTCAGCAGCAGCATCAGAAACAAATGGAAGCAGAAAGGAAAAGGGGGAGAGAAAACATTGTTACTTCTGTAGAATGCTTATGAGACACACTAAGCAGACAGAATTAATCCTGGGTTTCACTGTGAGTTTGATAGTTGCTTAAGATAATTCTTCACAGTGCTGTTTATAATATACACCCAAAAGCTCAGAAGCATCCTAAATGTCCTGTCAACCAAAAGGGAAATGCCTAAAACATGGTATGTTTATATACTGGAATACTATACAGCTATAGAAAGGATTAAGTGTGGAGTAGTTTATGTGCTGTGCTGCTACTAATGCAGAAAAAGTAGGGAGGTGGCTGCGGTGGTGATGTATGCCTATTATCCTAGCACTTAGGAGGCAGAGTCAGGAGGATCACAAGTTCCAGGCCACTCTGGTCTATATGTTGAGTTCTAGGCCGGCTGGGCTACATAAGGCTATGTTTTTGTTTGTTTTTTTTTAAAAAAAAGGTAGGGTGATTGTATTAATATTGGCGTGTGCATGTGCATGTCCATGTTGGAGAAGGGGCTCTCAGTAGGTCACACAGGCTGTTTTCAGACTCTAGTGACCCTCCTGTTTCAGCCTTCTAAGTGCTTGGACTATAGGTAGAGCTGTATTTGTTTTGTTCTGAGTTTTTGTTCTGCTTTGTTTTTTATTTATTTATTTTTTGGTCTTTTTTTGAGACAGGGTCTCCCTGTAGCCCCAGCTGTCCTGGAACTTGCTATGTAGGCCAGACTGGCCTTGAATTCACAAGATCCACCTGCCTCTGCCTCCTGAGTTCTGGGATTAAAGGTGTGCGCCACCACACCTGGCTTTGCTTTGTTTTTTGAGATAGGGTCTCACTATGTAGCCTTGGCTGCTCTGGAACTGGCTATTTACAATAGGCTGGCCTCGAACTCACAGAGATCCACCTGCCACTGTCTCCCTGTATAGTTTTAAAAATCTTTGCATAGGTAAGACATGAACAACAGTGTTTGAGAGTTGGGAAACTGAACAGAAAAGTGTGTTTGAAAGATATAAAATCTCCCTGTAGCCCCAGCTAGTCTAGAACTCATTATGTAGACCAGGCTGGCCTTGAACTCACAGAGATCTGCCTGCCTCTGCGTTCCAGGCACTGGGATTAAAGGTGTGCGCTACCACGCCCTGCTGCTGAATATATTTTTAATATTATTGAATATTCGGATCATAGGACTATATTACATACTCAAAACCTCTAATGACTTTGAAGACAGAAAAAAACAGTAAGGAAGGAACATTACCTGACTCTCCTGGGCTCTTTCATCCTCTTCTGCCTGAGTGTCAGTATTACCTTACATTTTAAAACAACAAGAACGAAAACAAATCAGAAGGGGCAGTGGAAAACACACAATCCCCATTTCTTGCTGCTGCAGTGAAAGGTTGGTACTATGAGAAGCTAAGTGCACTTCCCCACATCTCTGAGAACAGGGCCAAGTTCCTATCTCCTCTCTGATCCTTACTGGGTCTCACAGATGCTGGGCTTGCCCCTTCAGGAATTCTAAGCTGGCCACCTAGGGAGTACAAATGCCTGTGATTTCCCCAGTCTTCAGCAGATACAACCTGCTGTCTTCCACCAGAGTGATCTCTGTTCTCTTTCATTGCCATGGATTTGCAGATCCCAGAGTTACTTGGGTTTTTTTTTTTGTTTGTTTTTTTCTTTTGGTCTTTTTGAGACCAGATCTCCCAGTCGCCCCAGCTGGCCTGGAACTCATTATGTATACCAGGCTGGCCTTGAACTCAGAGATCCACCTGCCTCTGCTCCAAAGTGCTGGAACTAAAGGCATGCACCATCATGCCCAGTTTGAGTTAACTTGTATGATGGCATCTAGTATGTACTGTGTTATGTGCCAATACTCACAGAGTGTGAGAAGGCCCAAACACCAAGCATGCTTGTGACTAGCCCTTGTCTAAGTGGTGGAAGATCCTGGGCTGGGATAGCCAAGAGCAGGACAGCTAGGGGCAGCACATTGGAAGGGCATCTCTACCAGGAGTGGCTCCCTGGAGAGGGTACAGGGTAGGAATGGGAGGAGAGCAGGGTGAGGAGGAGGAGGCAGTAATGAGTGTGCTGGAGCACCATGTAGGTATCCTTTTACCTGAGGAGCTGCTGAGTTGCCTCTTGTTTTCTTTGAGTTGAAGCTCCAAGTTCTTTACTTTGAGCTCAAGCTTCACTTTATCAGACTCCAGTGTCTGAACAACTGAATGCAAGGACTTGGCAGATGCGTTTTCGCCCCTGAGCACTGTGACCTGAAATGTAGTGGTTGAGCTTAGGCTTGGAGGAGGAGCAAAAAGGGAAGCAGAACAATCCCCACAGCACTCTACCTCATTCCTCAGCTTTTCCAGCTCTGCGTCCTTCTCTGTGAGTAAAGCACTAGTAATACTGATGGATTTCTGCAAGGAAGCTTTTTCTTCATCGGCGTCTATTATGTACTTGGCTTCTCTAAAAGATCAAAGAGTTAAAAGAGTTCCAGAAATCAACTGAGATAGTTCAGTAAATAACTGTCCTAGAACAAATTGCAAATAAATGTTCAGTGAACATTTTTTTTTAAAAAGTATAATAGGGAAGTTTTATAGGGGATTAAGGCTGATATGCTTGTAAAATTTTACTTGAACTTTTACTTACTGTGTGGGGAGAAAGTTTACCTATGCATAAACATGCCAGAACCAGCATGTCATTGTGTCCAATTGAACTTAAAGAGACAGTTAATAAATCTGGAAGATGGAGAATTAAAAGAAAACTGTTGTACCCCCTCCCAAATTATAGCAAAATAGAACCCCAAGCTGAATATTGTTACTTCTGGAATAATTTATTACCAAGCAATGACAATTAAAATACATACATGCAAAGCAGTTATACAGATGTCATGCAGAGCAGCTTTAGGCTGGAAATATCAGTTGGTTCTCACTAATTTTGGCAATTTTTTCAGCAAATTCTGAGATTTTTTTTTTTTTCCTGTCTTTTTGAGACAGGGTCTCTCTGTAGCCCCAGCTGGCCTGGAATTCACTATGTAGACCAGGGTGGCCTTGAACTCACAGAGATCCACCTGCCTCTGCCTCCCAAGTGCTGGGATCAAAGGCATGCACCACTGCGCCCGGCTCTGAGGTTGTGTTTTTAAGATTGTGTGGACCGAAACAGTAACAAAGACCATTACTATTCAAATGGAAAGATTAGTACTTTTCAACCAATATGAAGATGACATTAGACAGCTCATAAAATTAAACTGTAGAAAGGCTAGAGCAGAAAATGTGAACATGGTTCTTTAGGAGCCAAATGGACACATAAGGCACCTAATAGGAGTCGTCCTCTGTTCTCTGTCCTCTACCTGGCTCTCCAGAGGGTCAGAGGCCTTTGGTGAGATGCACGTGTCTATAGTAGAGTCCAAGTGGAAAGAGGAAAGGATAGTGGGACAGGAGGGTGGGCAAGACACAAAAGAGTCAGTCCCAAAAGGCAGGCCAGTACATCCATATGTATGTGTGTGCACACATGTGCATGTATTTAAAAATTACATGCATACAAATGTGCTGAGGTCATGAATGAAGGGGTGCCCCAGGTTGGAAGAGAATAAGAAGATGGGACCACCCAAACACATGCTGTTTCCTAGCATGGATCCTGAATGAGAAGAGGCCATATTGGAAAACTGCAGAGCTGGACATTTGTGAACTATGTTGATTTCTGAGTTTGATTCTTGTGCTATGGCTGTGTAAAATGTTCACAGCAAGACAGCTGACTAGGGGTACTAGGAACTGGCTCTACTACTTTTGCAACTCTTCTGTAAACCAAATTTAGATTAAAATACAAAGCTCTTAATGTTTAAAAACCTTGTATCAAAAATTACTTTAGGGAAAATAAAACTGGAGTAAAGTGTCTTGGGTTAGCACTCAGGCCACACAATCTCAGACACTGCATTAATGCAGATGGTCACCAGAGATAGATCACAGCTAGCAAGCAAGTCACTGCTAGTTTGTTAGAAGTATGGGTGAGTGCAGAGCAAGTGTATTAGTCTGTTTTCAAATCAACTGGAGGAGTAGGAATCTGGAGTCCAGGTTAGAAATGGCAGAAAGTATGGCTGGTTAGTGAGACCCAAGGTATCCGGCACAGGAATTACAGGATTCTCATGGTTTGTGGTAAACTGAAATTCTACACAAAGATGAAAACCTAAGTGTTGTATTTATCTCATTGTGTGGCTTACACTTACACTCCAGAATGCTAAATAGTAAGAAAAGAATCTGAGGTTAGAGAAATGCTTTGAAATGGTAACACTGGGAGGGAGCGAACATCAGTGCTGTTAAATCACGCAGTGAGTGCTAGGAAATGGGTTTGTTTAGCTAAAACAGAACTACTGAAGAGGAGGAACAACCAGGCATTTTTGCACTGTAGAAAGTAAGAATCAAGTGCTATTCAAAGATGCAGTAAGTCTTGGGCTCTAAGTTTCTCTTAAGTATTTTTGGTTGCTATGTTGTATGGTAAAAGCAAATTCTGGAGCTTCACTTGTTTTAAATCCCACTCAAATTCGAAAAACAGAATTTTAAAGGTTTTTGCTAAAAATTACCAGTATTGGGGGACTGCTGAAATTCTCATTGGTTAAGATCCCATGAACACAGTCACTATTGGGGAGGGACAACCACCAGAAGCTGGAATAAGGGAAAGGGGGCAGATGTCCTCTGATCAAAACCCACGCTTATTGTCATGTATGCATGCATACAACCCTAAGCCATGCTGCTGCCTAAGGTGACAGAATGTCTAGTACACATCACCAAAGGACACATGATTAAGACAGAGATCTAGGGCCAGTGGGTAAAATCACTTGCCACCAAGCCTGACAACTAAGTTTGATCTTAGGAACTCACATGGTGAAAGAGGAGAGCTGTCTTTTGAAAGCTGTCCTCTGACCTTCACATATGTGCTATGGTATGCACACACCCACATACACAAGCTCACACACACTAAATAAATGTAAGAAAGGAAAGAAGAGGGGCTGGAGAGATGGCTCAGCGGTTAAGAGCACAGATTGGTCTTGCAGAGGACCCAGGTTCAATTCCCAGCACCCATATGGTGGCTACAAACCATCTTTGACTCCAGTTCTAGGGGAATCCGAAGCCCTCTTCTGACCTCTGTGGCATCGCATGACACAGGTGTACTCACATACATGCAGGAAATATACACATAAAAACAAAAAAATAATATAAAAAGAAAGAAAGGGCTGGAGGGCAGGAGGGCCAGAGGGAGGGAAGGAGGGATGGGGGCAGCGAGGGAGAGAGGGAGGGAGGGA